CCATATAAATAATAAATCCAGGTGATTCATCTGGTACGTTTTACAGCATATTGTAGATGATTACTTGTAAAGGAATTTACATAGTGAACAGAATCCGAACCAAGGATAGAAACTTTTGTGAATGATATAGATTAATATTACATCATAATTAAAGAATATATACATCAACTTTCTCTGTTAACTCATATTAGCATGTTTTAACATTTATTTCATCGCTTTCTTATCTTTACTAAATGTTCTCTTATTATAATAATGCAGACCAGTAACAGCACTGTCTCTTAATGACGATAAAACTTTAATATTATGTGATAAATGAAGAGCAGAATTCGAATATGCATTTTGTCAAAATTTTATTTTTTTAGTTAGATACATAGTATCGAAAGATTCACAATATCTACTTTGAAATGTTCAAAAAGCATTGTTAATTTATATGCTGAAAAAACATTAACATTTTTAAGAATTGTTTAGCAATTTTATTCAACATTTCACATCTTACTTAATTGGTATATTGTTATTTTCCATAAAATAGGAATTTTTCTTGTGTGTTTCTTTCTTTCTCATTTTTTGAAAATTACAAAGGACAAAACGCAATTTGAAATTCTGCTCTTTAAATATAGATATAATGATTATCTGTTCAAATCAAAATTGTTAAATAAATAAAATCAAATTTTGTACAAATTTGCTTACCTTTTATGATCATTCCTTTCACAAAAAAATACGAGTATATATTATATATATATTTTTTCTATAGTAAAATGCGAATATGAGATGCGAAGATGAGTATTTAATTAATTTTGATTTTTGTCGACTTAAATAATTTTTTCAAAATGCTTTATATTCTTTTAACAATGTTATCGCAAATACATGAACTAAAAATATGTGAATACACAGATTCGATATATAATAAGTCAAATAGATATAATGTATATATATAGCGGAATTAATGATTAAAATTTCTGAAAAAAACTGAAAAATAAAAAATTGTTAAATTTAAACATATAATAAATTGTTAAGTATAAAAATAATTCTTTAAAATATCACTATTCTCGAGTTGGGATCATCTCGAGCGGTC